TACCTCGGGAAGACGGGGTGGAGGAGCCAGAGAGGGAAGCAAATCCCGCGCATAGTCGCTCTCCATGTGAACGAGCTCCTGCCACGGAAGAGAGTAACGCTCCCCCCTGTTGATCAACCCTCTGATCAAGCGGGAGTCCAGCATCGACTCTGGCGGGGATGAAGGCACCACAAAGCGATCGTCGTTATGCTGACGGACGACTCGCTCCCCCAAATACCAGAAGAAGCGCCTGGTACCAACCAAAATGGTACGGTACACTGAAAGACGCAGGGCCTCGGGTAGATCAGTCATCCCGGCCCAAGGACGGTACTGGACATCGATGGGAACCTGGAAACCATAAAAAGTTAGGCGTTAAACAACGAAAACAACATCAGGAGGAAAGAACGCAACAAAACTAATCCTTACGCCAACGGAAGAGATGCCTCGGCGTAGTAGCCCACGAAGCGCCGGAAAAGACTCCACCCGCGACTCTCCTCGGTCGCGCCAGCTGGCCCCGACAGGGAAGTCATGGACCACTCCCCGACGCCGGCGAGGAGCCAAACCTGGAAAGTACTCGTAGAACCATAGCTGCAACAAAAGTAATATTTAGCACACGATTCGAACAAGCTAAAATGAAACAAGAAGGGAAAAGATCATCACCTCTACGACTCTCCACAAGCCGTAAAGGGCGATAGGAGACTCGCCATTCAGCTGACGGCAGCCATGACGTAGAGACAGAAGAAGATCCGCATACCCAAGACTGGCCCAGCTGTAGGATCCTATCTCGGGGATCCTGGCCAAAGAGGGGAGGTAGCAGAGGAGCACGCGTGAACTCCTGTCGGGAGAGAGGGTCATAGAAATCAGGATCAAGATGAAGATCCGTACCCGCTGCTCGGCCGTCGTATCCTCCATATCGAAGCCGCGAGCAAGAACTGAAGCCGACTCCGATCGTCCACTCCTAGGACTACCTCGAGACACCGGTCGAGTCCTGATGTGCTGAACAACCGGACCCAACAAATCAGCTACCTCAGCTGATGTCCAAGATAGATCAGACATCTGGCCTACTGCCCGGTCAGTAAAGCGCAGCCCGCTGATCATGCTAAAATCTAGGGGGGTCACCGTCATCTCCCCCCAAGCAAAGTGAAACGTGTTGGTAGTATCCCAGAAACACTCCAACAATGCGCGAACGACCGTCGCGCCGCAACCCTGGGGGCTGCGAAACCCTACAACCGCTGCGTAGAAATCCACCAAGCCAGCCAACTCCCATAAGGCGCTCGTAGCAGGATCCCTCGTAATAACCTGGTAAAGTCGAGGGATCAAATCGCCGGCTCCGGAACCATGCTGGCGAAGTGTGCCATCGACTTTGCCGGAGAGTGCGCGGTGAGAGACGTGGTTTTCACGGCAGAAAACCAACTGGTCTGGGGTCCACGAAGGTGGAACCCACCTACCCCTACTCGTAGAAGTCCGAGGCTCGGACTCCAAGACGTCGTCGTCTACGCCCTCAAAGACAGTGGGAGTGTCCTCCTGAAAAGCCCGACGCCGGCCGCGGGTAGAAAGGTCGCAATCTCGTCGTCTAGGCATGCTATTATAAAAATCTAAATGTTTAGAATCATTTCCTAAACATTTTTAAGTTGCATATTTGTAATAAAAAATAAATATCTAAATACTTAGCATCATTTCCTAAGCTATTTAATTGTTTATTGAATTACATGCTAAATTTTATTAAAATCTAAGTGTTTAGCATCATTTCGTAAACATTTTAAATTGCAAAATAAAATCTAAATACTTGGCATCATTTCCTAAGTTATTTAGTTGTTTATTGAATTATATGCTAAATTTTTACCTCAAGGCTAAAAATTGGCAAAATTATGGTATTTAGTTTCTCCATGACAAACTAATACTACAGTTCTCCTAGCCGCATGATACTATGTTCTCCCTGACAATATAGTACATATGCAAAATATGAATCAACACATCATTTCACAAGATTCACCACCATTTTTTTTCACAATTTCAAAACATGAACATTATTTCACAAAGTAGCACCCAAAAATGGTGATCTGCTCAATTCTCCATCAAATCATGCAATTTTTGTCTCAAATTTCTCACAAACACACATGTATACATATACAAGTAGAATCATGGCAAGAATTTCAACATAAAGCTTCAAAATAAAAAAAACCCCCAAATTGATTTTTAGGGTTTGTCACGAAATTGTTTATGTGAAGCAAATTCAAAGCAAAAATCAAAGGAAACTTACATGAATGTTTATAGAGGGTCGAAAATGAGGAGAAGATCGAGAAATTACAGAAAATTGATGAAATTCGAACTCCAAAACTTGAAAAAATTTCAAGCCACCAGCGCGACTGCCGCGACACCGGTCAGCACTAACCGTGACACGGAGAGGCAGTCCCGTGTCACGGCGACCTTCAAGGCTGACGGAGCTCCGACGATTTGGCGGAAGCTCCGGGAAAGAAACAGAAACAGCAACGGTAGACAGCAGCAGCAACAAACCGCAGCAAAACAAAAGAAAAAAAAGAGAAAGAAGGAAAAAATCAGATCTGTAGACTAACCGTGTCACGGTCGCCGTTACCGTGTCACGGTGAGCTTCGACGGCCGGCGGTTAACCTCAAGCGTGGCGCGACAATATTTGGTAAGCAAGAAGCAAAAATGGTGAAGTGTGAAAGCAAGTATGAAGAAGAAATGTGAAATGGTGAAGTGTGAAAGCAAGTGTGCGAATTTTAAGACAGAAAAGGACAAAAAGAAAAGTGACCATTGCTTTGACTGGTTCAAACAGTAAAAAGAAAAAAAAAAAAGAAAAAAGAAAAAAATAGGAGTCCCGTGACACGGAATACTAGTCCCGTCTGACGGGAATCCCTGACCGTGTCACGGGAACCTGTTGACGTGTCGCGGCAAAACTGAGCTTGGTCAGGGAATATTCTTGGCTTTTTGACTAGTTTGGCTGATTTTCCGAGTTTATTGGGCGATTATTTTTCGCTACAAATACGCGGAAAATCCCATTTGATATTTAAGGGGGACTAAATAAAATTACCATTTTACCCCTGGCAAGCGTCAAAGCCTATTTTTCGTCATTTTAAGCATTTAATATGGTCGGATAATCGGCTTAAAATTGGGAATCATCTGCGGCCCACGTTCGGGGATAATCGAACCACCATACACTTATCAATTTTCAGCAATCGTCGGCTTTCCTCAGGCTTGGAAAGCGTTATCGGTGGATTTTTCTTCAAGTATAGAAAACCGCCAAGTCGGCTTTCCTCAGGTTTGGAAAGCGTTATCGGTGGATTTTTCTTCAAGTATAGAAAACCGCCAAGTCGGCTTTCCTCAGGTTTGGAAAGCGTTATCGGTGGATTTTTCTTCAAGTATAGAAAATCGCCAAGTCGGCTTTCCTCAGGCTTGGAAAGCGTTATCTGTGGATTTTTCTTCAAGTATAGAAAACCACAAAATTCCTTTGTCGGCTTTCCTCAAGTATGGAAGGCATTAGCGGTGAATTTCTTCAAGCATAGAATGACACCAAATTCGTTCGTCGACTTTCCTTAGGCATGGAAAGTATTATCCGGTAGCTTTCTTCAGGCTTAGAAAGCTACCAAACTCTTCAGTCGGCTTTCCTCGAGCATGGGAAGCGTTTCAACAAATGTCACTCGGTGGATTCCTTCAAGCTTAGGAAGCTGCCAAATTCGTTTGTCACCGACACACTGGTGCAAGATACGTATTCTATCCCTTTACTCTTTTATCTGTAGAACTAACATTATTCTGTAGGAATCGACGTATACAGAGTGGTTTAGGATCGCAGAACGTCTTAAATCATTCTCCGTCCCTATCGACTACTTTGACTATCGTTTTCGAAACTGACGTTTCTACAAACTCAGTCAAAGTGGGGGCTTTTGTAGACACCTAAAAATGTCTCCCGAAAACCAAACCCGATGATAAATAACCTTTCACCGCCATTGTTGGTCGGGTTTAGTATTTAATCCCGAGAGTGCTTAAAAAATCGTATTTTATTAAATTCATGTTTTTGAAAGGTCCATGGATTAGTCTTGATGTTTGGTAAAAGCATAGTTTTAATTTTAGCCCAAACTTGTTAAGCCCAAATCTTTTTATTTTATTATTTATTTTTGGCCCAAACATTTTACTTATTTTTATTTTATTATTTTCTTATTTTAGCCCGAATAATAAAAGTCAGAAAAGCCCGAAATTATCAATCGGCACTTAAAAAGCCGAAAGAAATTAGGGTTAAAATGAATTTAGACTGAAAAATGGACTGGAACTGACCGTGTCACGGTACAGCCTGGCCGTGTCACGGGAACCCTTCCCGTCTGACGGTGGGACTTCCCGTGACACGGGAGGTCTGTTGTGACACAGGAAGTTCCGTGTCCTTTCCGCGTAAACCCTTAACGCGTTTTCCATTCCGTTTTCTGAAAATTTCCCGCGTCACTCCAAAACTATACCGTGTCACGGGAATATGTACCGTCTGACGGTACTGTCTAACTGTGTCACGGTACAGTCTGACTGTGTCACGGGATACTTTTTTAGGGTTTTTATTATTTTAGGGTTCCGTGTGCTCCCTCAGCACATTTTCCCTATAAATACCCCCTCATTTCTGATGTACGGGGCAACCAGAATTTCATTATTCTTATTTTTCTCTCTTCTATGCTATTGACCTAAACACTAGCCTACCCTTTTCACTTCAAAATTCCTTCTTCAAGCACTCAAAGGAGTCCATATTTTACTCGAGGTTCTGTCCTTAAGCTAAGGCGTGAAATGTAGAATCGTTTGAGGGTTTGGCCCCAAAATCAACCTTATTTTATTTAATTTAATTTAGTTATTGTTTTATTATTTCCTTGAAGTTAGGGGTGTACAAAAATTGGTCCGGACCTGAAACCGGACCTGAACCGACCTGAACCGGACCGGACCTGACCCGGACCTGTTGATTCAGGTCCGGTCCCGGTTCTTAAAAATCCAGGTTCCTGGTCCCGGTCCGGACCCGGTCCAAACCTGGGGTTTTCAGGTCCGGACCTGAAACCCGGGAAAATCGTAATTAAAAAAAAAAAAAAAAAACAAGAAAATATCTGATTCTCTCAGCCTCCCTCAATCTCTTTCATATTTTTAAGTTCTAACCCTAACTCCCTAAGCCCAAACTGATTCTCTCAGCCTCCCTCAATCCCAACTTCTCAACGCGGCTGTCCGGCTGTCCCAACTCGCTCCGGCCACCGCCCACTGCCGACACCTCCCTCATTCTCTCAGGCGATGCACACCGATAATATCTGGTAAGTATTTGCTTATAATTTTGGTATTTTTAATTCGAAATAATAAATTAAGTGTGAGAATTTATATGTTTATTCTTGTTTCAAATTTTCAATTGCTTTTAATGATTGTTTGATGTTTGCATGTTGAATTTCTTATTTTTAGTTCATCTCTTTCGAATTTCTGTTTTTTTTTGGTTTTTTTGAGTTTAGGGTTCATAAGAATTAAGAAATTTAGGGTTTAGGGTTCAAGTACGAAATTTAGTTCGAAATTTTGTGTTTATTATGATTATTAAGATTAATTTAGTGCGAAAATTTGTGTGGTAGGGTGGGTTGGGGTGGGGTTATGGTGGGGTTACGGTGGTACGGTTCTGGTGTGTGGGGGTTAAGGTTTAAGGGGTGGCAGTGGGGTGGGGTGGGGTGGGTTGGGGTGGTGGGGTGGGGTTTTTGGGATGGCTGGATGGAAAATTGTGAATGTTGATGGGGTTGTCGGGAGTGGAGATGGGGTTTTCGTGGTGGCTGGTAGGGTCACCGAGAGTGGAGATGGGTTTTAGGGGTGGCTGGGTGGTGTTTTGGATTGGAGGGGTTTTTGGAGTGGTTGAGTGAGGTTATTCCGGCGGGAATGGAATTTGTGGGGTGGATTCCATGGTTGGAGTGTCAGGGAAGGCGGCTAGGGGTGGGGCTGCCAATGAAGCTGGTTGTGTTGTGTTGTGTGGGCAGTGGTGGATCTGGGTAGGGTAAGGGTTAGGGATGGGGCTGTTTTAATTTTGCTACGTTGTTAGGTGTTCTCATCTAAAGATGAAAACTCGAGGGTTAAGAAATGGCTAGATGAGTATTGTTTATGATAGAAAATGTGTATTCAATTACCTTGAGCCCCTCTGCAGTACAATCAGAGACTTGCCAACCGTGATCTAGTGTTGAGAAAGTCCATGCACCTTTACAAATATGTCTATACATCTCCTTGAAATTTCCTGATGGATTCTCCTTAACCTGTTGCAATAGATCATAATAAACATTATTAGTTCAAATAATTTAAACTAATTTATAAGGTATGAATTCAAGGAGAATTGGACAAGAAACTCTATTTACATTTGAAAAACTTGTATGAAATACTTAAACCCTCTTCACTGTAGTTTTTTTTTTTGTTTGAAACCTTTTAAATGGAAGTTAAAGGTTTATAATGTTCTCTCATTTTTTTCTTAACATAAATTTCAGAAAGTTGAAAGTATTTCTAATGTGTATTGATATTTCTAATGTGTATATATGGACACTTTTTAAGCTAACTTATACTTTAAAATTTGTGTTTATTCCTGCTAGGCTGCTAAAAGTATGGACTCAGATTATTAAGATTAAATAAGTTGGCTAACCTGTGTGTAGTTCAGGGTTCTTATTTTTGTTTTTATTCTTGTAGGGAGTGAAGGAAGTCAAGGAACCACGGATTCTTATTCTTGCAATGTAAGTTGCTCTTAAATTTTTTTATAAAATGGTATGTGTATATAATTGTTACTTTAAAATTACTTATATTGTATATAATTATATTGTAGATGGAGAGCTCTCAATCCAAACGGTCTGCTTCTTTTTCTGAACAAACGTCACAGCCACTTTCTGAAAAGGATATGGAAGAATTGCAATCTACTTTGCCTCCTGATAAGAAGCTAAAAGCGGGGCGGGAATATATATGGAACAGAAAAAGTAAGAGGAAAGCTAAGTATTGGAAATATTACTTAGAGTACGTCGAGAATGGAAAACTACGAGCTGAATGTAAGTTCTGTCCTAAAACTTTTGCTGCTGATGGTAATCTTAATGGTTCAAAAAATGTTAAAAACCATGCAGAATCATGTCTCGGTAATCCTATTAATATAGAAAAAGAAAAGGGCAAAGAAAAGCAAACTAAATTATATTTTGATCAAGAACATGAGAGTAGTGAATTAAAGTGTGGGAGTAGGATTATTAACTTGAATGATGTTAGAGAGGCATTGATTCACATGATTATTGTTGATGAGTTACCATTTAAGCATGTGGAAAACCCCGGTTTTAGGCACTTTGTGCAAGTTGCATGTCCACAATTTCACATTCCATCTCGTCTTACCATTGCTCGTGATTGTTTAAAGTTGTATTATAGTGAAAAAGAGAAATTGAGAGAAATGTTTAAGACATGTCAAAGAATTTCTGTGACCACTGATACTTGGACTTCAATACAAAGAATTAATTATATGTGTCTTACAACTCATTTCATTGATTATGACTGGAAATTGAATAAAAAGATCATAAATTTTTGTCCAATTTCTAGTCATAAAGGAGAGGCTATTGGAAAAGCAGTTGAGGCATGTTTAGAGTATTGGGGTATTGATGATAAACTTTTTACTGTCACTGTTGATAATGCTTCTTCAAATGATGTTGCTTGTGCACACTTGAGTAGAATGGTTAGAAGAACAGGATGTATAAATGATGGAAAAAATCTTCATGTTAGATGCATTGCTCATATCATTAATTTAATTGTGTGGGATGGTATTAGAGAACATGGTGTGTGCATTGATAGAGTTAGAAATGCTGTGAAATATGTTAAGAATTCCCCTGCAAGAATACTTAGATTCAAAGATCTTGTGCAAAAAGCAAACATAGATTCAAAATCTTCTTTATCCTTTGATGTCCCCACTCGTTGGAACTCCACATACATAATGTTGGAAACGACTTTGAAGTTTCGACGTTTTTTTAGTGGGTTATCTCTTCCTGATGGAGAGGATTTGAATGACAATGAAAGGCCTCCCGAACCCGAAGATTGGGAAAAAGTGGAGAGGTTGGTTTTGTTTCTAGAGGGGTTTTATCTGTTAACTAAACAAATTTCTGGTTCCCATTATGTGACAGCTAATAAAGGTTTAGGAGAAATTGCTTCTATGTATGATATGTTGAATAATTGGGAACAAAGTGAGGACTTGAATTTTCAAGCCATGGCCATTGCAATGAAAAAAAAGTTTAAGTATTGGGGGGATGTGGATAAGATGAATAAGTTCATTTATGTTGCTCTTCTTCTCGACCCTCACTCTAAGATGGTCATTGTTGAATTGACACTAACGGATATGCATGGACCGGAAAAGGGTACAAAACTTGCTAATGATGTGAAGGAGTTCGCTTACTCTTTATTTGAGGAATATAGAAAAATGTATGCTACTTCTAATATTCCAGATTGTGGAGATAATATGTCAATGGATATTGATAATAGTAAAGGAGTGGGTTCCGATTATGTGAGGAAACTAAAAGAAAGAGCAAAACGATTGAAGGGGACAAGTGGGTATGCAATAAGTGAGTTGGATAGGTACTTAAATGATCAATTAGGGCCGGAGGAGGAAGAACAAGATGCATTGACATGGTGGGGTAAGAATGGTCAGCGTTATGTGATTCTTAATCGCATGGCACGTGACATACTAGCCATCCCATTGTCGACCGTTGCATCGGAATCTGCTTTTAGTACGGGAGGTCGTACTCTAGATCCATTTCGGAGTTCTTTAACTCCTAAGGTAATGCATCGTTATCTTTTTATTTTATAAAATCAAGTTTGTTTATATCTTAATATGACTTTGTTTATACATATTTGTGTAATATTTTTGTATTGAAGATGGTTCAAGCGTTACTTTGCACACAAGATTGGCTTAGAGCTAAGGAAGTGCCAATTGTTGATGTGGAAGAAAATTTGAAAGAGTTAGAGGAAATAGAGAAAGGTAGTAATAATTTTATGTATTTGAAATTTTGTTACACCAAATTTATTATTTCATTGTTATCAATCATTAATATATTCTATATTGTATTTTATTTAGAGGTGCAACGTGGTGAATCTAACGATGTAGACGATGAAGTTGTTTTCGTGGACTCATTAGTGTGAATCACGCGATCAAAGGGAAAACAACTCGTTGGAGAATTTATGTATTCCTAGTACTTGAGAGTTGAGGCTTAAGAGAATTTATGTAATTTTATGAGTTTTTGTGGACTTATTTGTATTTTCGGTGGACTCATTTGTATTTTTGGTGTTTGAGAATCGGGACTTTATAGACTTTATGTAGTTTTGTAATTGATAATTTTGGTTTGTATGTAATTATTAAATTATGCAACAGGTCTAAAAATCACAAAACAGGTCCATATGAAGGTCCATATGCAGGTCCAACAGGTTTTGTATTAAAAAAAAAAACGAAAAAGACACAAAACAGGTCCATTCAGGTCCAAACCCGGACCGGACCTGATTTTTCAGGTCTGGCCCGGAACCGGACCTGTTAATTCAGGTCCGGTCCCCGGTCCTCATAATTACCCAATTCAGGTCCCCGGTCCAAACAGGTCCGGTCCAGGTCCGGTCCGGTTTTGGACCGGTGTACACCCCTACTTGAAGTTACTAACTCGTTCATTTTTTTGTAGTTGCATGCAAACAGATTCAAAGTAAGGATCATGCTCTTTTTATTATTATTATTTTTCTAACGATTTTTATGATGTTGGAATTATGATTGGTTTTTATATTAATATTGATTCTATTATTTATTGATCACCATATTGCATGTTTAAAGGGAATATGTAATTGAAAATCACGCCTAATAAGATAATTTGGACAACCGGTTTAGGTTCCTTTTTAATCTTGTTATTTAATCAAGTGATCACTAATATTTCAGAATTATGTGTTGCATTAATTTTAAACCAATTTAGCTAAATAATAGTTTGGAGCAAATTGAATATTTTGTTTGTATGCCTTTGAGATCGCAGGAATCACTTTTCACTATAAGAATCGAGTAGAGGCCAATACGGGCGAATGTGACTCCATGACTCACTTCGTACCATCATCCCCGATCCTCTTTTCGTGGTTCCGAACCATATGGAGTTAGTAATTGATATACGTGTTTTATACAATGGTTTTCCCCGGTTTGATTGCATGATTTTACATGGTTTTGAGCTCTACGGAGCTATTTCTTGCTAACAATCTCTTCTTTAGTGTATTCGATTGTTTTAGTAAGCTTTTCAGGAATATGAAGCGTTTCTAGGCAATTGGACGTGTTTTTAGTAGATTCGGAAGAGTTGATAGCCAAGAACTGCAATTTATGTGGAATGCCCGACCGGGCATGGCTTGCCCGGGCAGACCGGGCAATGAGGAGTTCACAGGAAGAAGCCCAATTCTGAACGGTGCAACGCGCGCCCGATCGGGCAGGCTTCGCCCGGTCAGACCGGGCGATGAAGAAATCAAGTTATGAGATGCAATTTTGGAAACGTGTTACGCGCGCCCGACCGGGCGAGGTTCGCCCGGTCAGACCGGGCAAAGAAGGAAAACTGTCGTATTTTACGCAGCCTTCCTCCGCCCGATCGGGCGAGGTCCGCCCGGTCAGACCGGGCAAAGCTCAAGAACGCGTATTTTCTTATTTTTCCGAAATATTATCTTTTGGGGGTATAAATACCCTTTTGTAATTAACTTTTAGACAGTTAGTTTTTCATTAGTTTTCTCCTTAAGCCCTAGAAAACTCTCAAGAACCCTAGTTTTATTTTCTTAAGCAATTTCAATCTTTAATCCTAGTTTTATTAATTGTTCCTCAAGAATTCAAGATCATCAATTGAAGTATTTGGTATTTCTTACTTTCCATCTCTTTTATTTATTTTATAGTTCTTTAATTATGTGTTCTCTATTAGATCTTGTTTTTTGATTTAATTATGATTTGTGAGTAGTTTCCTTAATCCGGGATCTTGCTAAGCCCGATTATGATTGATGTATAAAGTAGATCTTTAAATTCCCCAATAATAATCCCAATTGACATGCTTAATTGATTGTGTTTATGCCAATACTAGATTAGGGATAATTAGTATTGTTATCATCCCTTTGTTCTTATTGCAACGGAAGTTGGGTATTAACGGGATTAGGTTATTTCAATTAAGGGTTTGAAGATCATCACGGAAGTAGATGATTGAATAATTAGGAATCTAGGCATGGTGTTTAATGTCCCTTATTCGCTTGATTCCACGGAAGTAGGCTTGATAGTTAATTTGGGAAGCCATTGATAACTCGGAAGAGACCTTTGGTATTATTATTAGGGATTGCTTTTCTTCTTGTCAATTGATTTATATATTGGGGGTAGATTTATTAGTTTATCAATCATAATCGTGGTGATGCTTGATCTTGGATGCTTTAGTTTATTGATTAATATTTCCTCTAGTTAATTGTGTTATTTAATAAATTAGTTGATTATTATCATCCATTATTGATTGGTCACGTGCTTAGTGATTAATTGAGTCTGATTAATTGAATGAACCATAGTCTCTTGGGATTCGATCCTTACTTGCCCTACTACACAGTTAGAAGGAATAGTTAGGTTATTTTTGTTAGGTACGCGATAAGCCTATCAAATTTTGGCGCCGTTGCCGGGGATTAACGGTTTCATATTGATTTTTCGTGATTCGTTTATACTAAGCGTTGTTTGTTGCTTCGGCTATTGTCTCCTGTGTTTTTGATGTTCTTTGCCTAGTTCTTTGTTGTATGCAAACACGTCACTCAGGGTCAGACGACTTAGTGCCTCTCGATTCAGAAATTGAAGCGACTGCAAGAAGACGAAGAGGTAGAAGAAGAGCAGGTAACAGAAATATGGAAGACCAAGCAACAAAGTCTCTTTTGGAGTACGGTATCCCTGACACAACAACCGGACTCCTTTCTAGCATTATTA